TCTCTCTCTCTCTCTCTCTCTCTCTCTCTCTCTCTCTCTCTCTCTCTCTCTCTCTCCCCCTCCTGCTCGTGCTTTCTCTCTCTCTAAAATAAATTAATTACTTAAAAATAATAATATTGATGACAATGAATGGAAGCAAAAAGGAACATTTATTAAGCAGTTACCATGTGCCGGGCACTGTCGTAGTACGCGTTAACTCAGGGATTCCTCATTCTCACCCTGTTAGGTGGGAACTGTTACCTCCGTTTTACAGAAGATAAAACAGATTGAGATCCAGGATCATGCTGCTAGGAAACAGGAATTCGAATTTGAACCCTAACAGTCTGGCTTCAGAGCCTGAGCTCTAATTGAACAGTGCCCCAAACTCATGATCCTATTTTGCCTGAGCCCATTTGAGCAGATAACCTTGTGTGCTACTTCACAGAGAACACTGAGGCTCTGAGGGCTTAATTCCTCATTTCCTATTCCTGTACTTAATACCTAGAACTCTTACCCACTTCCCCACATCACAAGGAAAGCAATAGCCTTCTGTCCTTCTGGAGGCTCCTCCCTCCACCTATGCATTAATCTCATCCCCTCTTGTCACTACAAGAATCAAGACCATGTCCCATTGATTTCCAGCTCCCCTGCCCCTTCTGCACATTCTCCTTGGTCTTCCATCTTTATTCCTACAAACATTAGTGTCTTCTGTTTTTAAGGAAATGCCCCCAAATCTCTTCCTTTTACCCTGTGACTCTAAGTTTCTTGAAGTAGACCGTCAGTCATCTTTATACCTTTAGAAAAGGTGTTCTAGTAAGTAAATTTGCATTTGATAAAGGTTATTTAGATAAACTGTTAGACTCCCCTAAGGAAAAAAGGGCTCAAATAAATAAGAAATGAAAGGGAGGAAGTTACAACTGATACCAAAGAAATACAAAGCGTCATAAGAGAATGCTATGAACAATTCTAGGTCAGTAAGTTGGACAACCTAGATGAAACTGATACATTCCTGGAAACCTACAATCTTCCCAGACCGAATCATGAAGAAATAGAAAATCTGAATAGGCCAAACATTAGCAAAGAGTTTGAATCAGTAATCAAAAACTAAACTAAAAAGCCTCTGCACAGCACAGGAAACCATCAACAAAATAGGCAGCCTACTAAATGGGAAAATGTATTTGTAAATCCTATATCTGCTAAAGGGTTAATATCCAAAATTACAAAGAACTCCTACAACACAATAGCAAACAGTCTAATTAAAAAAATGATCACGGGACCCAAATGTCATTTTTCCAGAGAAATCCTACAGATGGCCAACCGGCATATGAAAAGATGCTCATCATCACGCATTATCAAGGAAATACAAATCCAAACCACAATGAACTATCCCAGCACACCTGTCAGAATGTCAATTCTCAAAAGGACCGTGACAGCTGTTGGCAAGGATGTGGAGGAAAGGGGAACACTCGTGCACTGTTGGTGGGAATGCAAACTGGTGCAGCCACTGGGGAAAACAGTAAGCAGGTTCCTCAGGAAAGGAGAAACAGAACTACCACATGATCCAGCAAGTCCACTTTTGGGTATTTATCCAAAGAAAATGAAAACACTAATTCGAAAAGATAGATACACCCTTATGTTCATTGCAGTTATTCACAATAGCCAAGATAGGAGCAACCAAAGTGTCCATTGACGGATGAGTGGAGTATACAATGGAATATTATTCAGCCATTAAAAAATGAAATCTTGTCATTTGTGACAACATGGATGGACCTTAAGCGTATGCTAAGTGAAATGTCAGACAGAGGAAGACAAACACTGTAGGACTTTACTTTTATGTGGAATTTTAAAAAACAACACAAACAAAACTCATAGATGCAGAGAACAGAGTGGTGTTTGCGGGTGGGAGGGGGGCAAAATGGGAGAAAGGGGATGAGATACAAGCTCCAGTCATGAAATAGATAAGTCATGGGGATATACTGTACAGTATGGCGACTATAGTCAACAATATTGTATTGCAAGTTATGTAACTTTGTATGGTGACAGGAGGATACTAGATTTCCTATGATCTCTTTACAGTGTATACACCTACCCAGTCATGTTATGTACCTGAAACTAATGTCAATTACAGACCTCAAAAAAAATACATATTGCTCATTCTCCATAGGCCAGTTTTCATTGTTCTCTATTACACATAAAATCTCCTTAAAGTAAAATCTAAGTAATTATGTTTTTTATTTAGATTTTAATGTATTGTTTTAAAAATAAACTGTTGTTTTGAGCTTTAAAAAGAAGATTATTTAGAACAAGGGAACTATTGGTCCCCCTCAGCTCTGTGCTGGTCCGAACATTCCTGTTGTGTTTTATTCTGGGTGTACAATTTGAACAGTATGGACAAAGTTGTGTGTTCCTAGGAGGGGTGGTGAAGGGATTTTAAATCATGCCACATGGAAGGGTGCCTGGCCGGCTCAGTCGGGAGAGCATCTGACTCTTGATCTTGGGGTTGTGAACTTGAGCCCCATGCTGGGCATAGGGATTACTTAAAATAAAACTAAATAAACCATGCCATATGGTGGGAGTAGCGGAAGGAAACTGGACTGTTTAGCTTACACGGGAAGAGAAGACCCCGGGGGACAATATAGCTGCCTCAAGGTTGTGAAAGGCTCGCATGTAGAAGTATTAACCTTCTTCCATGTATCTCCAAAGACTACAGCTAAGATCTGTAGGATTTTTTTTTTTTTAAATAACAAAGTTGTGAATAAAGATTGGTCTGCCTCGAGAGGTAGTGAGTATTTTGTCACTGGAAGCTCTGTCTGAATGGTCACGTGACGAATGGTTTTGGGGGAAATTTAAGTGGAAGACCTGTTATTGATTATATAGCCTTTAAAGTCGGTCCTCACCTTACGTTCTGAGAGAAGAGAGTTCGATCCTTCAGGCCAGTGTGTTTGACCCAGGCTGCACGGTAGAATCACTTGGGGAGTTTTAAAGAAAAATACTAACGTTCAGCTCCTACCCCTGTCTGTTAAATTGTAATGTTTGGGTCATGGCCTGGGCACGGATACTTTTTTTTTAAAAGCTCTCCAGTTGATTCGAATGTACAGCCAAGTCTGAGAACCTCTGATTTAGCTGAATCAAGCTGTTGAATAAAATGAAATGGATTAGTATTTTTACCTAAAATAACTGTAACTACAGCGTTTGAGTCATGTGAAGGTCAGTATAATGTAAATGCCATCACATATTGTATTTATGCCTTATTCAAATTCACATGTCTTAGAACATATTCCAATATGGAAACAAAACAATTTCTAAAGAACCACAGTAGGAGGTTGCCCAGCGCGGAGGATTTGATCTGTAGCTGTTTTCTTAAAATGCAGGCGCGCGTGCATGCCCCCAGACGGAAATTGCCTATAGCAATTCGTAAATAAATGGACGAGGTGATTATTGGTCTCCGAAGAATTATAAATTGGGTATTGTAAATTTGGAATTAGTGCATTCCCTTTTTTATAAGCTAACCTGGGAGCCTTTCATTTGGGAGATATTGATCTGAATCCATGTTGTCCATGTGCTCATAGTGAAGTGGGAAGCAGTTTTGCAGAAGTAAAAAGAAGCACTTGACAGTGGGTATTTCGACAGTGGGTATTTACTTTTCCCGGAGCCACTCACAGACAGTATATTCAATACCACAATAAAAGTGCCAGATGTTTTCTCGAATTGTTATGTTTAGTTATGCCTGTAAAAAACAAAACAAAACAAAACACATGAGAATTATTCTCCTGAGGTAGTTTTCTACTTGTTTGACTTGTATTCCCTTCTGTTTAATCTTCTCTTTCCAGCTATTGGTGTCAGTAACCAGAGGGAAACCACTGTAGTCTGGGACAAGTTAACTGGAGAGCCTCTCTACAATGCTGTGGGTAAGCTGTTGTTTGTGTATGTCAAATGCAAGGCCTTTCTCCACTCGCAAACATTGTCACCCTGAAATGTCTGGCTGAGAAAGCATGTAGTCGTGTTTCCTATACTCGGATGGGATGGCCAGAATAGTCCTCTAAGAAATTAGTTGTTCTGTATTTACCATCTTCAGGTATTTATTCACATCTTGAATTAAGTCTTTCCCTTGCTTTCTCCTTTTCCTGATTATTTGTATTATACAAATGGTTCAGTGTTGCCACAATTGTTTCATAGTCCCTGCTGTTTCTGACACCTAAAAGAGATCTCGCCTCTTCCCCTCAAAAATCAAAATTACTCGTGTGCACAGTCATTTGTCTATGAAGTACTTGGGTACTTGTTCTTTCCATCTAGTAATTTGAATTCACTCATCTGAGGTTATGAAAATAAAATCTTGGGCGCCTGGGTGGCTCAGTCGTTAAGCGTCTGCCTTCGGCTCAGGTCATGATCCCAGGGTCCTGGGATCGAGTCCCACATCGGGCTCCCTGCTCAGCGGGAAGCCTGCTTCTCCCTCTCCCACTCTCCCTGCTTGTGTTCTTGCTCTCACTGTCTCTCTCTGTCAAATAAATAAATAAAATCTTTAAAAAAAAAAATAAAATAAAATCTCAACATTTTAGCTCCTTCTGCTACACATTTGGCTATTTCAGCAGGGGTTCAAAAACTCAAAATCTCAAATACACCAACATTAGGTATCACATCTTACTTAAATGTAAATGACCTTGAGTATAATGTAGCATACTCTTCGCACATGATATTTGGGCACTAAATGACACTGTCAGTTGCTAAAAGGAAAATTTTGTTGTAAATATACAGTCACTAAAATGCATTATTCTATTCACAAATGGCAAAACACAAGTTTTTGTCAATAAAATACCAGGTTGTGAGATGGGGAATGGAGGCAGAAATTGTCAGAGATGGGATGATTTCTAGAGTGAGCTATTTTTACTTGATAGTTATTTTAGTAGTATAGTTACTTTAGTATTGATTGGAAGAAAGTGATATTCAAGCAGAAAATATACTAAAACGGTGCCTTGTAAGAATAGCATGAAACCTTTAGAAATAGTCTTTATAAAAAATTAAGGTAGTTAAAGTTACTGTGTTATCAGAGACAATTTAGTATGTCTTTTGTACTTGTGATAAAAAAATTAAAGACTCAAAAAATGTCAAAGAATTGCAACCATAGGTCCTGTTACACAAAAGTATGTGTTTTAAATATTTATTTTGTTCTCATTTTCATGAGCAAATCATTTTGAATACAAGTAAAGCAGGATATTACAATTTTAATGACTGATACCTAGGGGGTATTCTTTCATGGATCACTATTTGCCAACTTCTTGAACTAGTTAGGGTTTTACTTTTTTTTTTCCCCCCTTAGGGAAAAGGAAGGACCTTCTCAAAGGAACCAAAAAGTTCCTGTTAAACTCTAAACTTTGAATTGTAAAAATGCAACTTTGGACTTTGAGTTGTCATTTTAAAATAATGCAACTAGGTTAGTTGAAGTTATACTTAAGGTAGAAGATTTAAGTTAATATTTTACCAGAAATATTTTCTTTTCTGATGTGCTTATATACTCATTTCCTTTTCTTCTACCTTTGTCCCTCTGTGCCCCATCCTATGTGCTTTCCAGTATTAATTTCTACTGCATCTATGGCATATGAAGAACTTTTTTCAGTACTGAACCATGCACATGTCTTGAGAAACTCTTATGTGTTTGGTGCTATACTGAGTGTGTTATGGAGGGTATGAGTTATTGGCCAGTTTTATAAACACTTTGTAATCTACTTTTGGTAAGAGACTAACACAGAATTAGGGAATCGTTGATAAACTATGCTGCTAAAATGAATAGGAATTAGAGCAAATACATATTAGTATGGATTTTGAATTTTGGGCATACCTTTGGGGGAGCTTGAACTCCATCTTAGAGCTTGAAGAATGTGTTGGATTACATTAGGAAAAGGGGAAAATGAAGGCTAGTGTGAACAAGCTATGAAGGTGAAAATGTCTACACATATTTCACCAAAGAGTGAAGAGACTGATCAGATTCGCAGATAGGGTGACTTATTTATTAGTTTTAATAGAACTAGCAGTGATAATAATGCTCAATAAGGGCTAACATTACTGTGTGCTACGGATTGCGCTAAACACGTTGCCCATATTATTTAATCTCAATGATCCTGAAGCAGGTTTTACTTGCCTTATCTTACAAATGAATTATGGGGGGAACAGCTACATAACTTGTCCAACGCCATATAACTGTAAGTAGAGGTAAAGCCACAGTTTGAACATAAACCTCTCCAACCCCAAAGCCTATGTTCTTGTTTGGATAAAAAGGGGTTGGTGAGGATACAGAGAGTGCTGAAAGCCGTACGCTGGGTAACATGGGACAAAGTGAGTAATAAAGGAGAGTTTACTTTCCCATATGGTGGAATGGATTGTTTCAAATGCACCTGTCTACCAAGAACAGCTCAAAAAGTACAAAACAAAATAAAACTGTCTGAGGGACTGGAAGGCTACCAAGGCAGTGAAGAATTATGGGACCAAGATCCAGGAGAGAAGGAAAGCCCAGAGAAGTAAGCCTGGCATTCGGTGCTGCTTATTCCCTAGAAATACTCGTAGATTCTATGAGGAGTATCTGAGGCTAAGCAGCATTTTCATAGGTTCATGGAAATAGGGAGGCAAAAGGTAGTCAGGCTGCCGGGGGTAGAGATGAATATGGGCAAAATCCTAGACTTTTGATTGCAACTGTGTAGGGCCAACCCTAGAAGTAAGGTAAACTGGGACTACACTACCCATCACAGGAGTTAAAGCCCAGATTCAAGTAATTTAAAGCACTGAGTGGATTATGGTGATCTAAGATTGCTAATGCTCCTAGCCTAACTTCCTTTCAGACATAAAAATGAACCCTTTCTGGAGGAAAATTATCTCTAGAGTTTTTCATATATGATTTCTAGTTTTCTATAAAAAAATAATCAAGCATACAAAACAAGACATGACTAAAAACCAACAGAAACAAATAACCTTAGAAACCAACCCATAGGAAATCCTGATATTAGAGTTATCAGACTTCAAAGTAATCATGATCAGCATGTTCAAGGAATGCCTTGACAAGTTTGGTCACCTTAGCCAAGAGTTGGGAATTTAAAAATAGAAATTCTGGAACTGTATTAAAAACTCAGTTGATGAGTTTTACATCAGATTAGACACAGCTCAAGATGAATTAGTGAACTGGAAGAGAGATCAGAAGTAAATACCAGACTGGAGCACAGAGAGACAAAGGTTTAGAAAACAGAAAAGAATCTGAGAGAAAGATGGGGTAAGGTGAGGAGGTCTAGAATACTTATAATTGGAGCCCCAGGAGAAAAGGAAAGAGAAATGATACGGTTTTTCAAAACTGATGAAAGATATCACAGATTCAAGAAGCACTGTATTTCCCAGGCAAGACAAATACACAGAAAACCATATGTAAACATATGTGGAGATCTGAAGATAAAAAGAAAAATTTCTACGTAGCCAGAGGATATGACCTTCAAGAGAGCTACACTGACTTTCAGTGGAAACAAAGTAAATCAGAATACAATAGAATGAAATCTTTAAAGTGCTAAATGAATCTATCTTCCATCTAGGATTCTAAACCCGTGAAAATATTCTTAAGTAATTAAGGTGAAATATAAAGGCAAAGACAGACAAAAACTGAATTTTGATGGCATAAAACAATAACATCTTACAATGTTCAAAATTTATTAAGAATTAAAATACACGACAACAGATGTACATGAAAGGAATTTAGGGTAGGTGAGTCTAAACTGTTTTGAGGTCCTTGTATTGTCAAGGATGCATGTTGTAATAATCTCCAAGCAATGAGTAAAATAGTGTATAATTAACAAGCTTATAAAGGGGGAATATTGAATGATTTTAAAAAAAAAGGCAAAAAAGGAAAGAAAAAGCAATGTGAAACAGGAAGGAAGGACAAATAGAAGGCATTTAAATCCAAATATGTAAGTAAGTATATTAAAAAGGACGAGATTCATGTCTCTGCTAAAATCTGGCAAAGGTGTTGAGACTACTAATCAGTGGGTGGGATTAGTGCCAAGACAGTGGAGAGAAGGCAAACCGGAGAGACCTTTCAGAGGAAAGTCACAACCTGTATGTTTGTAAATCAGATAGGATATAAAGATAAATGGGGGGGGGCGCGGAAACAGGGCTGCAAGATTTTTAGCCTCCGAGAACAGAAGGAAATTAAGATTAAATCTTAATTTAACCTTAATAAACCTTAAGGGGTGTTAGCCTGCTTCTTCGAACAAGGTGAGTATCGGACTTGTAATCAAAGCTCATTTCTGGGCAATTAGGCTTGTGGCTCTTGTATAAGGAGATTGTTCAAATGTAAGATGGAGACTTAAAGTCAGTACCAGAGAGGTGAGACTCCCAGTTTATTATAGATGACTTCACTGTAGGAATGAATGTAAATTATTCAACAAAAGTTCAAGTGCCCGTCTGGGTACAGGTTCTATGATGAGCCCTGGGCAGCTAGTGACGAACCAGGCGGGCACCGTGCTTGTCTTTGTGACTCAGAAGGCTAAGGACAGGAACCTGGAAGTGCGAAGGAGGAAGGCGAATAGAAAAGTAGGAGAGAGAAGGAGTAAGTAGCTGAAAAGGGAAGCCACTTGGTCATGACAAGGATAGATTCTGCCTCCAATTTTATGTCACGCAGGAAAACGCTCACGTGTCATATCTCCATGCAAGTCGCGATCGAGACTATCAACATAATATTAAATCTCCAGCAGCTTTCTCTTAACACAGGGTGGGACTGGCGGAAACAGAATTAGATTTTCACTTATCTTTGTCTTTGAGCTTCTTTGTTTATATCAAAGAATAAATCAAACCCAGCAGTCTGTGGGTTTGATTCTCTCTCTCTCTCCCCTCTTTGTCTCTTCGTCATAAATCTATCACTCCAGGCCTGTCCTCTTCATCTCTCTCTTTCCTCACTCAATTATGTAACTGATTAGCAGCGTTTGTTGTAGACAAGCCAATGAGAGAAGCAGTCTACACTTCTCTTTTTGGTTTATGGCCCTGGGGTCCTTAATAAGCAATCAGCTTACTCACCCCCAGTACCCGTCCTGTTATTGGACCTGAAATCCATTTGGTGTAGAAGTTGAAGACTGAGAAAGGCAATTTTTTTCTTGCTTGCAGTAAAGGTGCGTGTGTTTACTGATGTCTTTTGTAAAAGATACCGTTACAAGCACAGAAAAAAAGTTTAAATCGGTCCATTGAGGCACAGATGGCCTGTTTCATATAGTTTGAGAATGTATGTATTGTATGGTGAGTGAGGTAAACATTGGTGTGGTACCTAAAATAGAGCAGTGTCACTTGGCATCACTGCTTTGCTGTCACTGGGCCCTGATGTAGCCATTGACTCAGATGGGCCTCCCGGCTGGATTGCAGGAACTCTGTGGCCCTGGGTTTTTTGGCTTCTCTCGCCTGGCTTCACTCATCCTTACCCCCGTGGTGGTGCTTTTCTCTCCTCCTCTTAGTGTTCCCTTCATCAGTATTCTTTTTTTTTTTTTTTTAAGATTTTATTTATTTATTTGTCAAGAGAGAGACCACAAGCAGGGGGAGATGCAGGCTCCTCACTGAGCAAGGAGCCCCATGCGGGACTCGATCCCAGGATCGTGACCTGAGCCGAAGGCAGATGTTTAACCGACTGAGCCACCCAGGCGCCCCTCCACGGACTTCCCTGTACCCCGAAATGCTGCCATTTTTGTAAGCCTTTTCCTTCTAAAACCAACTTTTATTATTAGTTAAGGTCTACACACCTTGCGGTCTGCTAAGTATTTAGTGAGAGAAAGGTTGGGGTTTACAAATACACCACAGAGGAAACCAAGCACAACTACAATGGCCCAACCAAGGCCAAAAGCACTGAAGTGGGAGGGAAAGGCTTGATTCCGTGATGTTTAAGATCTTCATGTGCACGTTTCACTGACACTACCAGTAAAACATTCTGGCCTAACAGCAATGGCCCAACTGTTGCCCTCCTTCTTGGACAGGTTTTGTCATTCTCTATTACAGTTGATGGGTGTGCATACCAAGCCTAGCGCCATATGACCCTTGCTCCAATAGCTTTCTATAGAGCACAATTCATGCTTTAATATAAAAATAGTAGTCCTATTAAAGACTAAAACACAGGGAGGCAAGAGTCACTGATTTAAGACCTCTAGTATATGAAAGAAAAGCACCGACAAAAATCATTTGTCTCGGATCCATTTTTATTTAAATGGTATGGCAAACATTTTTTTCTAAGATGTTGGATTTTGGGTTTCCTGTGGGGCTCCTCGCTGACTCAGTCTGTGACTCTTGATCTTGGGGTTGTAAGTTCGAACCCCACTTGGGTGTAGAGATTAGTTCAAATAAAGTATTAAAAACATAAAAATAAAAATAGGGTGCCTGGGTGGCTCATTTTGTTGAGCGTCCGACCCTTGATTTTGGCTCAGGTCATGATCTCAGGATCGTGCTCGGCACAGTCTGCTTGTCCCTCTCTGTCTCTGCTCCTCTTCTCTCTCTCTCCCTCCCTACCTCCCCCTCTCCCTCTCTCAAATAAATAAATAAATAAATAAATAAATAAATAAATAAAATCTTTAAAAAAAATACAGTTCCCTATGACATATAACTGTTTACACAGAGTATTGCAGTTGTAAACATTGATCATCCTCTTGTCCTTTTTTACTTTTTTTTTTAAAGATTTTATTTATTTATTTGAGAGAGAATGAAAGAGAGAGAGAGCACATGAGAGGGAAGAGGGTCAGAGGGAGAAGCAGATTCCCCGCTGAGCAGGGAGCCCGATGCGGGACTCGATCCCAGGACTCCAGGATCATGACCTGAGCCGAAGGCAGTCGCTTAACCGACTGAGCCACCCAGGCACCCGGCCTTTTTTTACTTTTTATGTACTGGTTAAACCCTGAGCCAGTGATTAAGCCTGTGTAATCATTTATCAAGATCTGAAGGAAACTTGAGCTCAATTTTTTTAACCTTTTCTGGGACTGGATTATATTTCAGAGTATCAGCACGAAAGAAAACCGTAAATGACAAGCTACCTAAAACTTGGAAGCACACTTGTCTTTAAACAACAACAGTGGGGTTTTGTTTTTATTGTTTTGCCTTGGAAGGGAGCAGGGTTTTTTTTTTTTTTTTTACTTTTGTAAGATCTAGAATATTCAGCTTGATCCAGATATACTTAATTTCTCCTTATTTCAAGTCCTTTATTACAAGATTCTTTGAATGTCTTACATTTCCTTCAATCCGGGGTAAAAAAATTCTGTGTAGTTTGCAATTAATGAATTCTTCAACTCTGCCCAATTTAAAAAGAAACTGATTTTGATTTCAACTTTGAGGTTTCTGATCTTCAATATTTCTTTATATTCCGTTTAAGACTTGGAATTCATTCTGGCTTACCTGCGTCGTAGGGGTTTCATGCTGGATTCAGACTCTGGGTTCAAATCGTGGCTTTTCCACTTACTACCATTCTGTGCCTGTTCCCTCAACAGTTAAATTGGAGAAATTAAAAGTGTGGAGCTCTTAGGCGTGAGGTAAAAATGAGTGAGTTAATACATGTAGAGTACTTGGAGTGCCTAGCAGATTAGAAGGCTTCAGTAAGTGTTAGCCATGGCCAGTCTCCTGAATGGGCTGATACTCTTTTTAATCCAGGAATGCCAGATGGAATGATTGATGTATACATGACGGGTGTTCTTAGGAGAAATGCAGAGCTTACCTGGGTCACACACACTCATGTGAATCATTGGCATTCTGGCATTTATACACCTAAGAGCTGAAATAGTTTTCGGCCCCCACATTGGGACATATATATGTTTTAAATCACCCCCCTCCCTAACTCTCCGTTTTTCTTTTGGCCCCATGTGATTTCTGAAAATGTCATCAGGTGAGGGACAGTCATCAATTATAGCCTCTTCTCCTTTGCAAGTGACCTCTTACCCAGCTTAATTAATAGCTTAACTTTTGGCAAGTGATAACACATAGCAATGCAATCTGGTTGACTATTATTCTATCTCTTGTGGAGGAAGCAACCTGATAACACTTTGTGTAACTGTCAGCAGTCCTTGGCTCAGGGTGTGCTCCGGAACCTGAGGCCTCGCTTTCACCTCCCTTCCTGCCAGCCCTGTAGCTGGTCACAGTCAGCCCTCCCAGTGGAGATGTATTATTTGCCTTTGCTTCTAGTCCATTGAAAATAATTCCGATTATTTCTAGTTAATTTAAAAATTTTTTCTCTTAGGTACTTTTCCCTTCTATTGTTCTAACCAAAAACGATACAAATTTCTAAATATTCCCAAAATCATCTCCTCCTCTGGACTGTAACTACTTCACCAAACTGGCCCTGGTCTGTGGGCATTGAGGTAACCGCATTTCTCTTCACTCTTAAAACTGTTTTTCAGACCAGACCAAATCTAATGGACCTACATTGGATGTGACTTTATTTAATACGAATGAAAGTTTATCGCATCATCCAACTGGGTTTTTTTAAACTTACTTACTTCATGGTTTGAACCATTTAAATCAGATTTACGAGGTCTAAATAAGGGACATGCCTTACAAAAGCAGGCTGTATAGTGTTCTGGACTCCCGAGCATCTGTTTTCCTTCTTCTTCTTTTTTTTTTTTCCAAATGACTCTGGAACTTAGCAATCCCCTGTTCCCTCGGGACATGCTTCTCCTGTCTGTGGTGGTGGGCTTCACCTCCTGCCACCCTACCAGGGAAGTGCTTTCTCGGGGCCATGCCTTCCCAGACCAGCCTTTTCCCGTCTTCCTGTAAATTACCGCAACAGAGACTGTGGCACGCTCCTTCGCGTCCCTTTCTAGGGAAGGCTCACTCGCTACAGCACACAGCCTTTTTCAATTCACGGGTTGAGTGAGCGGTCAGTAACCAGCTGAGCCACTTCTCTAAGCAGGGCGCGGATACGTGGCAAGGTAGGGAAGAGTCATCCTGAAGTAGAAGCACGTATTTCCCTGGCCTTTGTCCACATGGATGAAGTCCACCAAACCAGAGCCTCAGACTGCCCTGTCTTCATTTCCTGTCCACTCCATGTCTCTTCCTTTGCTCTTTCTGTGCTCGCACGCGTAGAAAATGTTCATTCTGGGGAACTTGCCCAAGTGGTCTCCCATTTTCCCAGCGGTCCACGAGAGAACACAGACCTCGAATCGGGCCACCTCTAGCATGAATTGCCATTATTTCTCCTAATGCTCCAGCCGCTCCAGTCTCTCCTGGCCCTTCAGATCCAGTTGCCGTTGTTCCCTCTGGCTCTTCAGTTCCAGCTGCTGGCACTTCCTCAGGTATTGGTGCTCCGGCTCCTGCTCACTTCCCGGCCTTCCGACTCAGATATGATGGGGGAAATTGACCACCGCTGCTGGATGTGGATCTGGCACTCCTTTTGATTGTTCTCAGAAATTACCTCCGCAAGGGGCTCGGTCCTCCAGCTTGGGGTCTTCTCTTTGGCTTTTGGTCTCTTTTCCTGCAAATCTAATTCTGCCATCTTAGCTTCTTTAATGAGTTTTCTAATGTTTTTGTTCTTAATTCAATTAATTTTGAGCATTTGTGAATTGTTTAGTAGTGTATCAACCACTGACATTTTTCTCCTTGACAGTTATACTAATTCCATTCCATGTATTCTAATTGCCTTAAACTCTTGGGCTGTAAAAACAAAGTGAATCTGCCAGCCTTCTGTGATCATGGAAAAATGGCAGGAGAGGGACTACGGAGACCATCTAGTCCAACTGCCTTGTTTTATAGTCAGGAAATCTAAGCCACGAGGGGTAAAATGACTTGCTTGAGTCAGATAGCTTGTTGGTGGCAAAATTGGAAGACCTAGAACTTTGGTCTCCTGATTTCATGTCCGGTGTCTTGACTCACTTTGCTGAGGGGCTGATTCTGTGGATTCCACTGTGGATGCTTGCAAGCTCTCAAGTGAGGAGTGAAGTGCCCAGTTATGTAAGTGGTCACTGTCCAGGAGCAATCGAGTCACAGAGCCACTGGGACTCAGGGGAGCCACCTGGTCATCAGCTTGTCTGTCATTTGGTTTTTAAAGAAATGACTGGAACAAATTGCATATCCTAAAGATCATGCCCTAGAAAATAGCTTCTCAAGTTCTAGTATATAATACTGAATAACTTGGGATGCTTATAGCAAAAGTAGAAAGACTTGGGCCTTCTTTGCCTAGACCTGCAACCAGAATCCTGCAAGGTAGGGCTTGGAATGGGTGATTTCAAATTTTTCCAGGGGATTCTGGTTGTGCTTTCTGGATAAGGACCACTGCTGTGGAGTCTAGCAGTGTTTCTTAAAAGGCAGGCACCTATTTAAAAGGCGTATTTCTGGGCTCCCTCCCTGGACCTTCTTAGTATTCTAGAATTTCAGGGAATGGGGTCCATCTTTAAGCTCCCTAGTGATTATTTACATTAAAATACAGAAAAGCCATGATCTAGGAGGCTTTGAGTCATTAAACAGCCCAGAACAATGACTTTCAGGTCCTTTGTTCATGTCCCTTGATGAGAAATATATTTTCCATCATGATTCATCAAACTCACATAGCTAAAAAGTTTCACAAGTCTGTACTTACCTTACTGAGTTCAGTGAACTCTGTTATTTTCCATTCTAATCCATCCTATTTCATTTTTTAAGAGTAGGTAGTCAAAACACACTCAATTGATTTTTAACCCCCAGCCCAGTGTAGCTCGAAACACTGAGAATTGAGATGTGTTTGTTAATTCTACCTGTCACAGACTCAAAACTTCTCTCTTGAATTCCTCTCCTTTTCCCAATTACTGCTGTTAACACCTACTGGGGTTGCCTATGAGGAAGGTCTGCTTTGGTCACAGTCTTGCAATACAGCCCCTCTGTGAGAAGTGGACTGCCTTGGCGCCCTGGACAGGGGAGTTCTCGCCAACTCCATGCTGCTGCTGCCAATGGCTTGTATCAGTCACAGTGCAAGTAATAGAAAACTCAACCCTAATTAAATAAAGTGCAAGTTTTTTTTAAAAAAAGTAATTCTTTTGTTCATGGAACCAGCAGTGCAACAATAGCTTAGTTCAGATGCTGTTTGTCTCTAGACTCGACAATATGACCTGGATTCCCCCCAAGTCTTCTGGGATGGCTCCAGATGTGGCCAGTTCAGCTCTCTCTCTTCGTGGGGGCAGCAGGCCCAGCCACACACTGCCTAGTGGCGCTGAGGAGAGGGGCTCTGGCAGATTGAGCACAAATCTCCGTTGGCCTGATTAGACCACGCACTGTCTACTGAACCAGTCATGGGGATGGGGACATGATCCTGCAGCCGGGGGTAGGATCGAATCTCCAGCAAGCCACATGGCTGAGAATGAGGGAGGGACAATTTCCTGAAGAGAATTTGAGATACTGTTCCCAAGAGCAAGAAGAATATGTGGCGGGCAGCAAATGCAGATGTGCGCTACGGGCCACGGATTCCCCTGGTGTTCCTCTCTGCCTCCTCTTCCCTCAGTTGTGATGAGCCTTTTCTTGCTGCTTTTCACACCTGCAGAAACCAGTCTATTGTCCTGAAGTAGCCACTGTCAAAATCAAGCTCAGGCAGCCCTCAGGAGAAATGACAGTTTAAGTAAATAGAAAGAACTGATTAAAATTCACTACCGAAAAGAACTGGTTTTTATTTTATTTTATTTTTTTTAAAGATTTCATTTATTTATTTGACAGAGAGAGACACAGCAAGAGAGGGAACACAAGCAGGGGGAGCGGGAGAGGGAGAAGCAGGCTTCCCGCTGAGCAAGGACCTGATGCGGGGCTCGATCCCAGGACCCTGGGCTCAGGACCCGAGCCGAAGGCAGACGCTTAATGACTGAGCCACCCAGGTGCCCCAAGAAGTGGTTTTTAAATGAACAGAAAGGAATAGTCTAAAGGGTGAACCGAACTTTGCAATTAAGTGGCCAGCATTCACGTGTGTAGTGGACAAGCCTGTTTTATCTTCCCTGGTGCCCTTTAAATAAACTATGGGGCTGAGGCTTTTCAGGAGGCCTCTGAGCACAGTCAGTGCCTAAAAATAGCAAGTGACCACTAACATTAAAAGTGATAGAAGTTAAGCACAGAACTTAAAGCTGACACATAAAACTCAGCTGACCTATTGGTTACCTTTCGCAGTTGCTTTATGTATTATGTGATACCTTCTCTTTCTCGGGCCTTCTGTCCTGAAGCAGAGCAGAAATATTTTCTACTAGAGGATCAGAAAGTGGACAAAACTTACTTAGTGTAAATAATGTTGATCTCTTAAAATAAATTTTTTATAATCCAGCAGGGAGCAAGAATGGTGACCTTTAAACAATTCTTTTAACAATCTGGCTTCTAGCCTGCTTTTGAAATGGAAGAGTTTAATGTACCTAAGCATTTCAGACATGGGAGACTGAATCTTACTTTTTCCTTCAATAAATAGTACCGGGTTCTCTGCTTTGTCACAAATTGCTCCCAAGTTTTGTAAGGTACCTGCTTTATACCCAGTACGGTGATCCTGAGCGGTGTGTTCTGCCCTTGGCAACTGGCCTGCCGAGCAATGTAAGATTTTCTCTGTACTCATGTATTCTGAGAAACTGCTTATCCAAAACATTTTTTCATGTTTTTTTTCTCTAAAAAGGTTACAAAATAAATGCCCTCAGGTTTGTATTGTTCTCCTAACTTGGTCTATAATTTTGCATAAAAGCTTTAAATTCTTCCTCATACATTTATTCTTTTTTCTAACAATGTGCCCCTTCATTTCTAATTTTCTAATTTCAATCTTTTGAAAGCTCTAGCATTTTAATTGCTTATGGAAACTAATCAGTATCCCATACGTGACAGTGATTTCATTAAGATCTGATTTTTTAAATGAAGTTTTTCATATATGTTATTATATTTTGGTCTATAGTGTGGCTTGATCTGAGAACCCAGTCTACCGTTGAGAATCTTAGTAAAAGAATTCCAGGAAATAATAACTTTGTCAAGGTAAGAGATCTCTTCAGAAGTATACTGTAAGAACACTTGTTTTTAAAAAAGGTTTAGAGATTTCACCTGAAAGACTATTCGGGCCTTCCATCCTATTGCACAATAGTTATTTGATATGTTTGATAGACTATTTCTCTGCAGACAGTTGAGGACAACTGAAGTATTTACCTTTCTGACTTCTTGCCCTGTGGTGGATTAGAGGATTCATATTCTGAGGTTGATAGGCTGGAGGGGATTATAAAGTGTCCCAGTGGCTTAAACCATACTCCCTCTTGTTTTCTACTATCTGTCAAAGAAAGTTCTGGATGCTTTTGAGTTTTTAGGCATCTGGACTTAGGGAGAGAAATTAAAAGTCACTCCAGCTCCTCACTGAACTCTTTCTTCATATGAAGGAGGCTGATAAAAAGTGCCTAAATTTCAGTCCATTTGTAGAGCTCTCTTGAGTTAAACGAAGGGAGAGAGAATTTTTGAAAGAGTATTTTTCTTATCAAGGTCAAGGCCCACTTCTCCTAGCATCCAAAGGAAGTTCTGTTTTTTAGCATATCCCCTTTGTATTTGTCAGTGGGACTCTTAAAACAGTGGTTCTTCGTTCTGAAACTAGGGTTCAAATCCCATTAACTGTAGCAGTTTAACAAACCATTCCCTACCCTCACCCCCCAAATAACTTCAGGCTACTCCTAAATATACCCTTACCCATTTCCTATTCTCTTCCTCTTTGTCACCATGCATAACCCTCACCCCCACCTCCAGCTGCACTTTGCTTCAAGTGATGCATGTTTTTCTCTTCAGGGCCATTTTAGGCAACTTTTACACTTGCTACCTAAATCATTAAAATGAGATATTATCGACTACCTCACTGTTGCCTTTGTGGGATGACCTTTGGTCCTTCAAATCAAAGAGGAATTATCCCATAAATTATTTCCTCTCATTATTTTTGAGTATTGATCTTACTTTTTTTCTAGGAAAGCTAGAAAACCATGGGTTAGTCATAACTTACAGGGTGCAGTAAAGTATTATATGGTTTGGTTTGAATTTTCTTACCAAACATATCCATAGCAGATAAGAAGGAAAAAAGTATCACTTTCTGTAGGTAGGTGGTAAATCAGGAAACTAAGGATTAGGGGAGGGGAAAGATAGTTGCATTATTTTGATGTATGTATCTTCTTAACCACTTTCACCAGCCCTTATAAATATATTTGGTATTTAATATACTAACAAAAATAAGAGTTGGAGCTGATCGATTCTCAAGGAAGATTGATAAGCCCATATGTGTTTTATATTTACCATTTATCCTTTATTCAGTACACAACTCCCTTTGTTTAATGTCCTCACTGAGTTTTTAGGCAACTACTTTCTTAATATGGAGCAACTCAGTGTTGCTTTCTTCTGGCATGTCCTTGAGCTCTACTTTGTTCTCCACTTATTTTATGTTATTTGAATATGTATGTGTATATGTACATATTTATAATATATTTTTTACACATATAAGTATATTGTTATTAAGTCTTACCTGTTTTAAAACCTAAAATTTTCTGGTTATAGTTTGATATACTCTCTGATTCTTAATAGTTTAAAATATCACATTCATGAAATATAAAATGAAAAGGCAGAGTTTCAGACTAGGTTCTGCACATAATACTCATCACAAAAGCTAACGTCTACGTGTTCACCATCTAGATTACAGGATGTTGTGTCAATTTTCTCTTTACCTTGCAACGTGGATGCTCTTTGAACTGCAAACATATCACGCTGATCTTTGTTCATGAACATGCCTTCCTGTGCCATGAGATAGGAAAATTATTTTTATCCATAATACCATGGGGTTGACTTTAGGGCCATTGAATATTTTGTGATTTGTTGAGTTTCTCACTTTGGTGTTTTATTTTTTAGACTAGTTGGTAACTTAATTTGCTGGCTGAATTTCATAACTGTGTTTAGTCCAAGACAGGCCTTCCACTTAGCACTTACTTCAGTGCCGTGAAACTTCGTTGGCTCCTTGACAATGTGAGGAAAGTTCAGAGGGCTGTTGAAGAAGATAGAGCTCTTTTTGGGACCATTGATTCATGGCTTATTTGGGTACGTTTAAATATAATGTACGAATGGAGAAAGTTTTTCAGAATTTTTTTAGACTGGCTTGCCTGCTCTCTATTTTCTACCAAGAGTTCCAACTTTTTTTTAAAAGGTTTTATTTATTTATTTATTTATTTACTTATTTATTTATTTATTTGAGAGAGAGAGAGAGAGAGAGAGAGCGAGAGAGAGCGCACGTGTGTGCATGCATGAGCTGGGAGAGGGGCGGAGGGCGAGGGAGAGGGAGAATCTTAAGCAGGCTCCATGCCCAGCACAGAGCTGATGTGGGTTCGATCTCATAACCCTGGGATCGTGACCTGAGCCGAAATCAAAGAGTTTGTCACTCAACCAGCTGAGCCATCCAGGCACCCCGAGTTGAAACTTCCCACTCGAGACAGCAGAACATTTCAACCTCCATTTAAGAGGCATTTTTGCCTACTTCCTCCTTATTTTTCTTGCTTTATTTCAATAAAAATGGAGGGTGATTACCAAAACCACATTTCATATTTATTGTCTTTAGAATAAGTAATTTAGGTAATTAATTAGTAATTAGTAATTTAGGTAGTCTTTTTCTCTTGCTTATCATTTGCTCTTTTCCAGTGGTCATTTCTTAAAAGTAACTATTTAACCTAAGAGAACACCTGTGTGAGTTTTAGCATTTGCTTTCAGCATGACACAGCTGTCTCTTATTAAGCCATAATATGAAAAAATCATAGAATTTCGATGTATAATCTCTTTGCCTAAGCTGAACACAGATGAGTAGAAACTAACATTTTTGACATTTCTTAAAAGTACATGTTTTTCTTAAAAGTGCATGTTTTCTTAAAAGTACATGTTCTCTCTCCCCCTTTCTCTTTTTTGTTCTCTGTTATTTTTCTTATGGGCATTTTCAAACATACCCAAAAGTAGAGGGACTAGTGTAATGAACCTTGGCAACAACATGCCAGCTACAGCAATCAAGTATGGCCGATCTTGTTTCAACTATACTCACATACCCTTTCTCCCCACAGATAAATGTAAAGCAAATCCCCACACATATAATTTCATTTGTAATTAACTTCAGTAAGTATGTGATTATCTTTTCCAACATTCAAGAGAGCTTCAGAGGAATATTGCCCCCATTCTCACTTGCCAGATCCACAGAGCAGATCTTCCAGAACCAGTACCAGGAAGCAGTACTTTCTCACCCCTCCCTGTGCTTGGCCAGGGCACGCTGTGCTTGGTGCTCTCTTGGCCCACAGTTTTCATACCTGTCACAGCTGAAATAGTTCTGACAGTCATTTGCTTGAAACCAGAGGAAGGCAGGGTGTGGCACCTGTGAGCTGCAGGAGGGAGCTCAGTTAGCTGCGGGGTGGGGGACCTACTCCCCGGATGCTGGGATGCCTTTCCTCCGCTGTTGTTCCTTTCTTACCTCTTATCACTCCCACACAAGAGAAAGCAGCAGTGCCCGAGGGTATTAACACGGGAGAATTTAAAACTCTGCTTTCAGGATAGTGCTTGGGTAGGTACAACCCAATGAGAATTGTTACTCCAAAAAACTAAATCACAGAGATACAGCATGTGAGATCCTGAAGCGGCAGACATGTTGATATATTTCACTTTGCCAAATGTAGTTAAGACTGCCTTTTGCAAAGATAACGGATGAAAACAAAACTGATTTTTTTTGTTTGTTTAATGACCAGTTTACTAGAATTCTGCTGTCTAATATGGTAGCCACTTAAGCACGTGTGGCTGAGCACTTCAAATATGGCTAGTGTGATTCAAGATATGCTGTAAGTGTAAAATATATACTGTACTTAAGTAGGTAAAATGTTGGGGTGCCTGGCTGGCTCAGTCAGTAGAACATGCGACTCTTGATCTGAGGGTTGTGAGTTCAAGCCCTACGTTGGGTGTAGAGATTACTTACAAATAAAATAAATAAATACATAGGTAAGATGTCTCAGTAGTAATTTTTTTATATTAAAAGGATATTTTGGGGGTGCCTGGTTGGCTCAGCCAGTGGAGCATGCAACTATTGATCTCAGGGTTGTAAGTTCAAATCCCATGTAGGGTGTAAAGATTACTTTAAAAGTTTTTTAAAAATAAATCTTTAATAAATAAATAAAAGGATATTTTTGATATATTGGGTTAAATAAAATATATAGTGTTATTAAAATTAATTTCAAGAGTAAAGAGTTTTACTCTTTACCAAAATTTACTAAAATTAATTTCAAGAGTTTTACTTTTTACCTGCTTCTTTATACCTTTTAAATGTAGCTATTAGAAAATTTAAAATTATGCATGTAGCTAGCATTGTATTTCTATTAGACACTGCTGAAAACTAGAAAATTAAGTGATTGACACATTCCATTCTCCTGCTTTATGTCCTCTGCTACTGATTATGGCCCTTGACAACATGTAAATTAAATTGCAAATTAGGGGGTGCCTCAGTTGGTTGAGCATCTGACTTTTGATTTTGGCTCACATCATGATCCCAAGGTCCTGAGATGGAGCCTGCATTGGGCTCTGCGCTCCGCAGGGAGTCTGCTTGAGGATTCTCTCCCTCTCCTTCTGCCCCTCCCCCTACTCACATACTCTTTCTCTCTCAACTAAATTAAATCTTTTTTTAAAAATAAAATTAAATAAATAGCAAATGAGTACAAATCAACATGTCCTTTTATTCCGTCTAGAGTTTGACAGGAGGGGCCAATGGAGGTGTCCACTGTACAGATGTAACAAATGCAAGTAGGACAATGCTTTTCAACATTCATTCTCTGGAATGGGATAAAGAGCTCTGCGAGTGAGTTGTGTTTTGCCCTAAAAAGCACTTCCCAATACGTTAGCTATTTGTAACCTAAATCTTACTATTTTCAGATGTTAGTGGAGCACCAAACTTTAATTGTTGATATTTCAACTATAGTATACAAGTCTATACTGTGTATTCAAAGAAGAGACTATTGTTGGATATATAGCGAACAGGCCAAATTAATTGTCTTGATTAGGAAGATTAGGTCTCTTTAGAAAAGTACTTTGTTTTCTGTGCGCTTCTTATTTTTCATCGGCTTGTATAAAGTTAGAATGATAAATACCCAAACATACAACTATGTTCTGCTGGCTTATTATTTAACTCTGCACTCAAATACATCCATTTTTTAATTGCTATTTACAATTTTGTCTTTAAATACATATAAATGTTTCTAGATATTTATTTAAAATAGTGTTATATACCCAATATTATCTTACTGTTTTTCAGATTTTTTGAAATTCCGATGAAAATTCTTCCAAATGTCCGGAGTTCTTCTGAGATCTATGGCCTAATGGTAAAAAAAAAAAAAAAATTAATTTCATTTTAAAAAAAGCTTTACTATTCAGAATTCAAAAGTCAGTTGTGTTACATTTTCTAGTTTGAGAATTGTGACTTTTCTGTAAGTGTTGGTAGTCTATAAAATAAGAAATTAGTGCTGTTTAGTTTTATAACTTAAATTTTAGAATCCTTCTTACCAGTTGGTTTTATATTTTATAAACTTTCATTGGCTGTTCTTTGAGTATTCTACTTTTAAAGTATTTATGCAATAATCTAACTACAGAAGGTGGCATGGGAATGTTTGAGCCTGTTTATTCTTTTAATTGAAATAACTTTAGTAGTTGTGGTGTGTGCTTATAATTTATAGGAAGGACTCTTCACGTTAGTGTTCTTTTTCCTGTTGAATCTCTTTTAATGGCTAAACCACGTTTTTATATTAGATTCTTTGTCAGCCTGAGCAAAACTTTAGCAAAGAAACTGAAAACAAAGAGTCTGTTTCTGATTTGTGATTGCTAATTAAACTGGTTTCCATAATAGACATTTTACTGCTGCTTTCACTGAAACTGAGAGAAAAAGTACTTTCAGCAAAAAGTGTGATTAGCATCACTGAGTATCTCTGATTACGCATCAGGGATGAAAACCTCCAGGAGGATTTGAACTGGTATTGAGCACAAAAATCTAGAATTTATGATAAAATTTAAAAATACATCTAAGGTCAATTGCAAAAAAAAAATATTGTTTAGACATTTCATGACAAATATTAGAAACTACTTACAGAGTTAGTAATAGAGTTGAATACTAAGTGCTCTGGATAAAGCTTGAGCAGAGTTCTTAAATATTTATAATAAAGTCTTCTAAAGCATCATGGAAATTTTTAAGGGAAGCACGGCTCATCTACAATAAAAGTGCTTGGATGACTTCATAGCTGTCTACAGACTGCCTTGGGTCAGAGAAAACAATATCCTTGAGAAACCGTTTTAGAGAATGGTTGAAAAAGCATTTACTGGCCTAGTTTTTTTCTTGCGTTTAAAATATTATGCTTCTGTCCTCCTTTTTTCCCCTTGCTGACTATAGAAAATCTCTCATAGCCTGGTGAGTAGGTTGCCCACCAATTATGCTACCCATTCATTTGGAAAAGATACAGTGCATTTCCATGTAGTTTTAGACAAGCAGAAGTCCATTTACTAAGCAGATTTATCTAGAATCTCCATGACCCTCCAAATTGCTGTAAGCTCTAGAATAGCTCTAGGTTTTCTTTGAACTCAGTCATGTCTGTTTGTTTTTAAGTTTCCCATAAGACTGAAAGTGATATTTCAAAATAAAAGACTAAACTAGTTTTCTGGAATGAGAAATTCTGATGTTCCCTGTGACAAAGTACAGTTGTGATGTGCTTTGGGCTTTGGCGTAACAGGGAAATTAAATGTCCTAAACACCTATCTTAAATGATACTTGACCAACCTTTCAGACTAGTTAGTTGGAAATGCACTGTCACTTTTTCTGCATGCTTCACCAGAGGACATTACCAGGAATCCTCCAGAGACCCCTCCCTGTGATGGAAAAGGAGCGCTTTATGTGCCTGAGTGCACATCAGTAGATCCTGCTGGTAGTTTGATAATACCTTCAATAGTGTCAGCAAAGGCTTCTTCTCATATATTTAAGTATATGAAGACAGACAGCCTCTCGGTTTCCTACGGATTCACGTTCAGTTCCTTATGAAGTGTACCCTTCACTTGTTATCCAGGTTCAGATTTCCTAAGAGTATATCCAGTAAATAAAAAAGGCAGGTCTTGAATTAAGCAGAAAGCATGAAAGAAATAAAATAATATCCACCATCTAGAAGATGTTTTCTGTTCTGTACAGGGTTTCCACATACATTCTATTACTTCCTTATCATCAGAGCCATGTGAGGCAGCCTCTGTTCTTTCCCTTACTCTTCTAGATAGGGAACCTGAAGCTCCTAGAGGATCACAAATGGGAGACCAAGGGGGCACTCAGTGGAAAGCTTTTGTTTGGCCCTGTTCCTAGCACATCACGCTACTTCATGGATCACGTTCCTTCCCCCTAATTCCTTAATACCAGCACAAATTGCTTTGTATTAGAGTATTTTTTTAATGAAGTTTGGTAAAATACACAGTCACTTAAATCTCGTTTTTCTCCCTAGAATGCTAGCCATATTTGATCCAAATAAAAACCAGTATTCGTGACCTAAATTAACTCTTGCTTATCTAAACTTGAAGAATGATGTCGGCTATGAACAAGTAATACCCGGTACCCAAACACTCTTGGGTTTCTTACTTCTCTTAAAAGCAGTTTGGGTAAGGAAGGATAGGTGGTAAAATACCGCCTTCCAAAATGAGGCTGTTCCATGCTGGTTTGATAGCTATTCATATGTTTGTTTTAAAGGATGTGTTAGTTTTCCTTATTAATGGCAATGATAACAAAGAGCTATCAGGCCTAGGCATTCGTGTTACCTGGACTCCGTTTTATACATCAAGAAATTGAGGCATAGAGAACTTTCAGCAGCCTGCTCAGTGGCTTAACACTAACCCACCAAGAGTAGACCCCTTGTCTCCTGATTCCCAGTCCAGTGTTTGACATCCATTCTCCAATACCATGTGTCTTCTTGTCATTCTAGAAATATGTCTAGTTGAAACACTTGCTTTGTCTTGTCTGCCCATATGCTCTGGCATGTTGCTGCTATTCGTGTTCATTCCTGTTGCAGTTGTGTTAGTAGAGACAATAGTTGGTAATTACTCATAATCCTTTTTTAAAATTTTATTAGAAAGCTGGGGCCTTGGAAGGTGTGCCAATATCTGGGGTAAGTTTCATCTCCCTGCTACCTCCCCAGCCCTACCCGCTTCCATGTGAGGCGTTTCTTCCTCTATCTTAATCAGTCTGCCCCTTCCAAAACTATGGAAAAAAGGTAAAAGCAGCAAAATTGGCTGATTCTTAGGTGACACAGTGTGGGCCATTGAGAACCTTTTGACCAAATTCTAACTCTTCCCTCCCGTACCTACTATCTTGTAGGGGATATTAAGAAATGGGGAAATGGACAAATGGAAGCAATGCAAAAATCAAGATAGTTCATTCCTTGATAAATGAAAGAAAGTAAAAATAAATCCTATGGCTGTTCTAAAAGGGAAATTAATAACATTGTCTTAGTGTTCTTTATTGTCACTTGTGCTTTCAGTGTTTGGGGGACCAGTCTGCTGCATTGGTGGGACAAATGTGCTTCCAGGATGGACAAGCCAAAAATACGTGAGTTTAAGAAACAGACCCAAAAACCAATGGGGTTTTGTTTGTTTGTTTCTCCCTTTGGTGCTTTGAATGAGGAAAATCTGTTGAAGTTCCTCCAGGCTGAAAATCAATAGCTTAGGAGTTCCAATAAGTTTTTTGCCATTTAGTTTTCTTTCTCTCCTTCAAATAAATGTAAACACAATGCTAAGGCTTGTAAAGACCTTAATTTATAAAATTCAATACCTTTTCCATCCAGAAACTAAATTTTGGTTTA